GCTGAGGGAGCAAGTTCTGCCTCCACTTTCTGTAAGGCTGGGTGAGCTATTTTTTCTGAGGGACATCTTGGCATCTGCAAATAAACAGTGCTTTCAGGAAAGCCTGTGTGTACACAGTCTTAGGCGTTTACACAAGGACAGGATGCTTCTGAACAAAATGCTAAATTTAGACTGAAACTTTTCAGCCACCAAAAATTTCTGTTCAAAATAAATCTTCTTTCTTGCTCCAAACCATTTTGAAATCTGTCCTCACAAGCTCCTAAAATCTACGTGCTTAATGATTTTCTCCTTGAGCAAAGCAGAATGAGTGTTTTAATCAGAACCAAAGAAAATGTAAATGGCAAATAGAGCAAATCTATTTTTTGTTTGTCTGAGGTGGTCTTCCCAGAATAACAGTATGACAGATTGGCTGAGGTGGGTCCACCTGGCCCAACCACACCTCAAGCAGAGACACCCAGAGCAGGGTACCCAGGACCGTGTCCAAGCAGCTTTCTGTAGAATACAAAGGTAATCAGTGGTGTTTGAGCTAATTTCAGGGTAAACTGGAGGACAATGGGGTGCTTTCTAAGCAGATCACACTAATGCCAAACTATTAAAAAAAACAAAACAAAAAAAAAAAAAACAAGAAACAAGTCATTATATGTCATGTAAGTACATATACTTCATTATATGTACTAGGAAACAGCAGATACACATAAAATACATAGCAGAGGAGACTGTTTTCTTTCAAGAGAACATGTATTTTTCATTTCCTGGATGCACCAAAATTTTTATTTTCTCACAGAAACTTTCTAGTTGATGTAGCAAAATAACAGTATATATGTATTGTTATACAAACATTATTACATTTTATAGGAGGAAAAACAGATTTTGCAGATGCAGGAAAAGGATAGGAGTGGGTAAATAGGGAGAACTTCAGTATTAGTTACTGAGAGAGGGATCTTTGAAGCCCTCACTTTTGTGTCATCAATGTTCACATCGACAAGACATCGATTTTGAAGTCATTCAGAATGTAAGTATATGGCATGAGATTAATAATTTTGAAATCTTATCCTCTATTATAAGAATGTAGCCACAGAAATTGTGCATTTCTGTGTGACCAGGAAACAGCTCAGGCACATGTGGCTTGAAAAGCAGAGGAAGGTGCAAAGCTTACAGCATGAAAGACATAAGACAAGACATCTGAAGTTGTAATGGGGAAAGAACTGTGTGCAACCTCTATGACTAGTTGTACTAATCCTTCCGTATGATTCTTCCTTCATCTTATTGCTGGATAGAGTGTGCTCTACACCCCAACACAAACTGTCTTGATTTGGGTCTTTACACAAGCAGGAAAAGCAGAATTTCTTGATATTTCTTGGACATGGAAACAAACTACTTGAGTTGATTCTAATTTTTTAATCCTGTTGAAGCCATCACTGGATAAATATGGGTGTTACTCATAAGATTTCCTTTGAATATAGTCATTCAGGCTGCAGAAGTTCAGCACTTTCTCCTTTCACATGCTAATGTAGATATAAACCAGTAAGAAAATGTCTTCTTTGCATAAATTACAGAAAAGGAAATGAATCAAGAGTGAATTGCTGTTTCCACCTTTGAAGACTGAAAGCAGCAGAGTTATGAAGCACTTTCCAAAATAAAAATCACTATGCACTCCTCATTATGATAAAGCCAACAAGTACAAATCTGTTTTTCCAGGCAGCATCTTAGAGCAAGGTTCTATGGGGTCTGTCTCCAAGAGAAGAGACTGTAGCAGAAATTACAAATAACATTCCAGTTACTGCGTAGCTTCTTTTTGAAGAGAGCATTTTTTTTTCTGAGTATATACCTAATGGGTTATCTCAGCAGCCAACGTAGCATTTCAGTTCTGAACATTCAAGCCATCTGTGTATTTATGCCTCAGGCAGCAGCTGTAGTTTCATTAGGCAGAAAATAATTTGGGTTTGCTGTCACTGATAGCTGGGAATAATTCTAAAGAAAGTAAATGTACAAGCTGTCCTTTAATAAATGTATTTGTGTGGTGGAGAGGGTAGAATTAACCTGACAGATGACATGAAAAATTCACCAATTATTTTTGGCTAAGGCAAAACCTTTGCTACCCTGCCTATTTTCAGTTTTAAGTCCCTGAATGTTGCAAATTTTGACAATGTATCTTCTTAAACAAGATTCTTCGGAGCAAAAATTCACTCGTATGGTGACCAGAGTGAATGGGGGTAGCGTGGTACCTATCTCCACTGTGCAGGTAGAAAAAATTAAGGCATTGGAACCTCATTCTGTCCAAGTAACGGGGAGAGGAGAGTAGCGGAGCACTTCTCACCTTCGAGTTGCTCTTGGGAAGGCACTTAGCCCAGATTTGCTCACTGTAGCTTGAGCAGGGATTGCAATACGCTTTTTTACAGCTACATTGTGTTATTGACTAGTGTGGCCATGCCTTGTTCAAATCCTCATGCCTTTCATCTCAGAAAACATTATTTACTGGAGAAATCTTATTTCTTATAGATTTAGTTCCCTTGTTCATTCTAATAAGCCACTATGAAGATCTAGTCTTCTGTTCTCGGAGATGAAGAACATCAATTTCATCTCACTCAAGAAACTACGCACTTTCCCTTTAACAACTCTAGAGTACAGATAATTTCTGATTAGAATTAATTATATTTATTAAATCTAAGATGTACAAATACTTTTTTAAAGGATCCAAACTCAATTATTTTACTGCTAGTATCACTTGATGATATTAAACATAACACAGAATTTCACAAAGTATTCTTCTTATGGTATGTGAGCATGACTCCAGTCTTAGAAGAAATTCTTTGCTGTTTGTATTTTGTGATGCCAGACTTTTAGGAAAGGCATTGTATGCAGGGGAGTTTGCTTTCTGCTTTCACATCTGTACTAGGAATTTAACTCCTGAGATTTAAAGGTTCCCTGTGAAGCAGGCATGGCAAAGCAGGATAACATTCCTGAGGTAAAAAAGGGATTCCTTCCATGTGATTTCATGACCTCTATCTAAGTCCTAGCCAGTTACATGCATACAATAAATAGTGCCAAAATATCTTTGCTCTGTATCAGTGATTTCTTTTGTGGTGGGAGCATGGATCTTTAGGCCCTTCATAATCTGATGCTACTCAGAAAAGAAGGCCTAATATAAAGTTTAATTGCTGGTAAAGCCTACAGTAAATATTTGTGATGTTCTTCAACTCCTTTCCCACAGTTTTGTACAACAGAACAAACAATAGCAAGCTCAAGATTCGAATGGAGATGCAGAAACGATGTCGTTGAGATAAGTTTAATGTTATGTGCCTAACGCAGTGTTACCAGGATGAAGCTCCCTGTTGCGGAGATAGATGACCAACTTGCAGCTGAGTTCTCTGTTAGCTGAATCACAAAGAAAGTTTTCCTAGTGACTTTGAAGGAAGAAGAGATCAGCTGCCATGACTTCTTCATTCTGCATTATCTCTGAGACCTGGAAGCATGATAGTTCTCAACATCTCTCAGGGATGCTTCAGACCTTGAAGAAAATACTCAGCACCTTTTGAGTCACACCCAGCCATGTTTCTTAACGGCTACACTAAGCAAAATATTTGTCAGAAAGATATGACTGTAACTGTTGCATAATTGTAATAGACGCATAGTAACCATTCTCATTTCCCAGAAACATGAGATTTCAAGTGGGCTCTGAGCTGGCAAAGCAGTGAGTTTTTTCTTTCTCATTCTTTATGGCAGAACAGGTAATATCTATCTTCTCCACTCTGGAAGCCCCAAATACCACAGGAGCCTTACTCTAGCACAAGCTTTATAGACAAGTGCTGCAAAGGGTGTTCAAATAATAATAAAGGCCTGCAACTTCATGTTTGAAATCAGTTTGAAAACTCATATATACCTTACCATACTGAATTTAATGAGCCTGCTTACCTGAAATATATCATGGGAATGTGTGCATGCATGACTCAGATCTTTGACAGAAATGTAGGTGGAAGAAAAATATCCTGAGTAAATATGCTAAAATGTTTAACAGTCAGATGCTACAAGCAAGCCCATCCTCCAGGCCATTAATCCTTTTGAAAAGCTATCACCCTTTATTACAGTGGAGCAAATGGAATTCTGAATGGGCATGGCCACAGCATAAAGGGATGATGAGTACCCTGCTACCTGGCAGGGCAGGCCAGGGCAGTGGTGTGATAACTGTGCCAGTCACTGGAAATTAAGAAGTAAAAGGAAGAGAGAGAAGGCAGCCTGAAGGCTTTCTATGCTACTTATTTGAACACAGAAATGATTGAGTACATTGGCTTAAGGCATATCCAGATTGCAAAAGCATATGTATGTGTGGTCTGAAGATCCTTTGGTTTGAAAGTCCATTGAATGAATTTCATTCAAAAAACTCATCAGTAAAATCTCATTTCTTACTGTATTTTCACAAACCTTCCAAAATACAAGGAATTCTCCTGAAAATGTTCACAAAAATGTTTTAAATCCCATGTGCACAAAATATATTCAGAGAAAGCTTCTTTTGTTCTTCAAATATGTCTAAATTATGAAAGAAAAAAAGCAGGTTTTGTAAGATTTTTTTTGTAAGGGGAAGATTGTAAATGGTTGTGAAACAGTCCATTCACAGAGCCCTAGTTTTCCTTTGAAGAATTCCTTTCTGTAAAAAACTGGAGATTCCTGTGGTGCTATGGGCAGAGGGGATTCTCTTTTAGTGTGGACAGAAAGTAGGATACAGTGCCACAGAGATTTATTGACTGTTTTTCTGGATATGAAGGTCTCTCTTGCCTCCCATAGACTCCTTCCTCTAGCCAGTCAAATGTCAGGAAAAAAATGGCACGTGTAGTAGAAATGCTGTCACAGCTTGAAACCGTGATTGAGCACCTGGTACGAAGGCAGGACCAACCCAGGGCAGCTCAGGTGCAAGCTATGCACCTGATCAGTGGATTCAAGACCCACCCCTTCCCAGACCTCATTTAAGAGTTGGCAGTGGAGGTGAGAATGTTGTGCTGGAAATCCCTGTCTACCTGAGTCCTTCCAAGGGTAAGTACATTTTTCTTCCTTCATTTTTGTCTACAGCTGCTGTATTTGAGCTTGTTTTAATTTGTTGTGGCCTAGGACTTTTCTACCCTCACTATTATTGCTGTACTTTCCATCATGTGATGCTGTAACAATGTGGAAGAAGGAACTGGAACTGGAGTAGTAGCGTCTGGATCCTTAAACAAAAGCGGAGGCCATACAGTTTTCTTCAAAAGCGCAAAATATAAGGCAAAAACTTCAGTCATTTCTCCTCAGTATGCTCTGTGTTAAGGAGTTCTGGAGGAATACTGTCTAACCGTGGTTTTCTGGCTCATTGGGTGTAAAGTTTGTTTCCCAGAGGAAAGCTGCTAGAACAGAAGACCTTATTTTGCTATGGAGCCACAGAAGCTGCAACCTTTGCACAATCTTTATCCAGCTGATTATTCATACAGATACATGCCCATCTCTGGAATATTACTAAAGGAAGAATGAAAGTACACCCAAGTAAATCCCATCTCAATGAAGTACTGAAGTGTTAATGTTCAGTCAGTTGAGGCTTTAGAGTAAAATTGATGAGGTGATCAGTGTTCCGCAAGTTACAACTGAAAGGCTATAGTGAAAAATACGACTTTAAATTAAAAAAAAAAAAATACAATCCTTTGTATAAAAACAAGTATCAGACAGCGGCCTTACTTTTGAGCTGTGTGAGATGGAAAAAAAAATATCTGTAGGTAATCTCCATGTTTGCCTTACTGTAATTCATCAAGGAGTGCAGTGTGTTGCTTTCCCATTCTAGAAAGCAGTCCCTTGCAGGTATCTTGTACTGGAAGGGCTCTCACTGCTGCAAAGGGAGTGTAAGCTGTGCTGAGATGTGATAAGCTTTCTGTGATGGACATTTTCCATACAGCGTGTACAGGGAGCTTAGATTATTACATTCTCATTTTTATAGGATACTTGACACCATTTCTGCATTAACTGATGTGTTGATGTATGCACATACTTGGAAGTTCTCCTGAGCTGTCAGATTTAAGAAAAATGGAAAGTTCATCAGTAGTCCAAAAATGCTTTTTGCGAGCCATTGTTGTTTACATTGGACTACTCACTCCAGGGGTTATTTTGGAATGTGCTTTGCACTGGGATTTGAGGTTTTTCAATAGGGAAACTCCAGTTAATATTTATGTTCAAAACATTCTTTTTTAGTTTAAAAAAAAAAAAAAAAAAAAAAAAAGCCAGAACCATTTGTGTATTTATCCAATATGCATTTTGTTGTTGTGCGTTCAGTTCTTTATCCTGCTGTGCTGTATCTCTTTGTTTAAGACTTGAGTTTAAGATATGTGGTATGGGTCACTGAGAGATTTTATTTGTCCTCTTTTTCCCCACCTCACTCCTCTCCAAAAAAAAAAAAAAAAAAAAAAAAAAAAAAAAAAAAAAAAAAAAAAAAGGAAATTGCCTTGATAAAGGGCCCAGTCTTAAGTAAATGGCAGAGTAATATAAATATAATTAATATATTTATATTTAATTATAATTAATTATAATTAATTAATATAATATATATATATATATAGCATGATGTATATACTATTATTATTTATAATACGTATCTGTATTATATATAGACCCAGCTATGCATGGTTGCTGTGGGGTTCCATGTTGTATCCATGTTGTCCAGGGCTATTTTGGAACAGAAGACTTTGGAAGACAGTAAAAGAAAGGACTAAAACTTTCTCAGGAAAAAATATTTTAAATAGCATAGAAAGTATTTAACATCCCACTTCTTCACCAGAAGAGGTCTCTTTAAAGCGCAAACAGGAATGATGATTATATGTTGGTTAGGTGTAGTAAGGGAGTCAGTAGTCTGAGATTTGATGCAGAGTTATGATTTTGCTTAGCTGCAGTTAAAAAATGATAATATCTTAGCTATTGTACAGTTTCTGATTTCCTGTGAAATAATTTTAAGCATGAATAGCTTTCATATGCCAATAACAAAAGGCTGTTAGGTCTAATATATATGATTTAATATATCTATTGTATGTAGAAGCACAAGTACAGATTTCTAGCAATCAAAGTGATGCAAAAAATCATTTCTACATAATTGCAAAAAAACAGATTACTTTAAACTGGATGCTTCAAACCTCTACGTAAGAGACTGAAACTTAGAAAATGCAAAAGTTGACTCATTACACTGTAGCTTCGCTCAATACTTCTCATGGTGCAAAGGAATGAATTGCCTAACAAATAAGAAGGAACACAATATCTCTGTTGCAGCCTAAGTTTAAGACGCATGCAGTGCTCATGTTTGCTGTATACAAATCTTCTCTGCTTCACCATCATTTATAGTTGAGTCAACTAAATAAAACTTACTAAAATGTTGAACTAGTTTGTTCTCACCCGTACTATAGAGAATAAGAGAGTAAGAATTAGTCTGAAATATTGTTTCTTTCTGTGTTCTTCTTCACTAGGAGACAGAAAATATCTTGGTTGGATCAGAGGGTCAGGGTCAGAGTATGCTTTTATTTCAGCGTGACCCATTTAAACTTGGGGGAAGGATATTGCTTTCAAATAGATTTTTAACACAGACCACAGAGAGGCTATTCTGCAGTTTAAATTAACAAGGACATGCCTTCCAAATTGTATTCTGAACGGGATCTGGCTTCGGTAGGGAAGAGAGGTTTGTTACTCCCACAGCAAGGACTTATGAAACATTTTAATAAACAGTAAGGCTTTCTCTGAAAAGAGCGCCTTGACAACCAGTATGCAGTACTCAAATATATGCATAATACATTCAGACTGAACAGCCATTGTATTCTAAGAAACCATGGCAGACTAGTGGATGAAGTCCTTATTTTCACAGTTTTATATATATTTTTATATATATATATATTTATATATATATTTATATTTATATATATATATATTTTTTCCCCCACAGCATTTATTGGAGTGGCTTTTCCCATAGTATTTTCCACAGGGGGTTTTAGGTAGTCCCAGTCATGTTTTCTCCTGCCTTCTAGACAAACGGGGCATTTTTCACCTGTTAACTAACAAGGGATCTTGTGTGGGGGGAAAATGTCATCTCATTATACCTTGCAGAGAAAGATTTTTCTAAGTCAGAAAGATTACATTAATTGGTCTCAAAATCTTATCTACCACAGTTTCCACTTGTTCAGGTTACCAAAGCATATCACTTGGAAAACATTTGAATATAAAAACTATAGCTTCTCGAAAATCTCTACAAAAACATAGCTTTTGATATGAGAGAGTCAGGTTAGACGATCATAAATAAGTCTTACCAGACCTCTGCCCCATTCTAGGCTTTGAATACCCAGAATCTGACAACTGATGAGACACATCAGGCTCAAAAAAAGCTGGAAAGCAATATCAGACCTTCTGGATACAACATGGACTTGACGTTGAACTAGTTTACTTTTTCAAGTCCCAGGATGAAATGAACTGTGTCAGAAGATGTTGCTCTCTGTATTGGTGCGCTCCTTAAAGTACGAAATTTGTTTTGTTTGCTTGCATGGAGGCTTAACAATGTAGACACTCTTTTGGAGTATGGTTCCAGATTTCATGACTCACTGATGGTGACATTTTCATTTTGTTTTCCAAACTGTCTCATTGTTTACTTCCAAAATTTCCATTGACTTCAGAGGAAGTAGGATGGCGCCAATGAAGTTCTTGCAGCTTAAGAAATCTGTCCAAATTTGTCACTAGCTTGAATAATTTGGTTTAAGTCCTTTTATATGCGGGCTAATTGCTGTAGTAATTAATACAGCCATTTGTATTTTCCAGAATTCTTTCTCTTTTGCTCACATTATAATTATACGTATTATCTTACATCAGTGATCAAATTAAAATGCTTTCTTCTTAACCCTTTAATTAATAACCCCCAATAATGAGCTGTAAAGCACTGTCCAGAGTAAAAACTAAAGAAAATTATGCAAAGACCACTTGTAAGAGCATGTTATCTTTTTTTATTGCTGGATTTCAGATAATGCCCCAGGGGCTTCATTTGGGTGGTCAAGTAACTCTGTACGATGAGTAATAAACAAATAATTCTACACCCAATTCTGTTTTACTCCCACTGAGCTGAGATACCTTATGCAAGTAGTTCCACTTCAGTATTCAGGCATGCAGTTAATCCTAGCTATTTATACGGCTTGTTACCACACCCTCAAGCAAAGGATACAGTAGAAAAGTAGAAATCTGACCGATAAAATGTTTTTCTTTTTTAAGGCAAAAAAAAAAAAAAGACTATATTTGTGACTCAGACATCAACATGGTTACACTTTTCAATTGAAAACTAAAATCCACATAGAACTTTAATGATTTTTACTTTCTAGATTTTTAAGGAGCATTCATAAAATTCAAATACCTGCTTTTTGAATTGTACATTTTATAATAAATGGATTACCACTGATGCTTTTGTATTTTACTTAGTTGTGTACTAGTTTTACCAAAGGCTTTTTTTCTGTTATGACTCATTCACTGAATATTAAGTGTTGTTCACGGAATCACAGAATTGTAGGGGTTGGAAGGGACCTCCAGAGATCATCGTGTCCAACCCCCCTGCCAAAGCAGGTTCCCTACACCAGGTCGCACAGGTAGGCATCCAGGCAGGTCTTGAACATCTCCAGAGAAGGAGACTCCACCACCTCCCTGGGCAGCCTGTTCCAGTGCTCCGTCACCTCACTGTAAAGAAGTTCTTGCACATGTTTGTGCGGAACTTCCTATGCTGCAGTTTCCAGCCGTTTCCCCTTGTCCTGTCTCCACTCACCACTGAAAAGAGTCCGGCCTCGCCATTCTGCCCCCCACACCTTAGATATTTATAGACCTGGATCAGGTCCCCTCTCAGTCTTCTTTTCTCAAGGCTGAACAGACCCAGTTCACTCAGTCTTTCTTCATAATAGAGATGCTTCAGGCCCTTCACCATCTTTGTGGCCCTGCTCTATATTGTCTTTCAGCAGTACATGTTTAGTAATATTAATGAGTTCAGCTTGATTTTTTTTTATTTTTTTCCCCTTGGGAAAAATACCTAATTGAGACCTGCTTGTTTTACTTCTGCTGCGACTGAAAATCTTAAGACCCACAGGATATTCAGAACTGTGGGATGCAGTTATGTTGTAGGAACTGAGTATCTTAAAATCCTGTCAGATTTTGCAATTTCATATGTCAGCAATTCTCTTTTATTATATTTTTAATTATTATTTTTAGTTACTTTTCCTTCTAGCCACCCACTCCAAAAGACTTCAGTGGAAAATCTAGAAAGATTTACTCTATTAGTGTTTTAACTGAAAACAGAGTTTGGCAGCTAATCTCCTCCCAAATATCTAAACATCAGCAACTACTCTGCTTCCCCTCTGGAGCAAAATGTATGCTGTACTCTAGACAACAAAACACAGAATGTGAAATATGTATGCATATATTTTGGTGTGTGCATACTCTGGCAAGGCTTCTTAGAAAGTACAACTGCAGCTCAAGTTCAATGAAAAACTGAATACTATACTGAATACTATACTATCTGCTTTTTTTTAGGGGTCAGATTTTCGCCACCACCCCCCCTCCCCTTGTAAAGGCTAATTCATCAGAACTACAAATAAGACTTGATTGGTACTAATCAAATATGGAGGAGGCTCCAAACTGAGTCGACTGGGTCAAAATTTCTGAAGGGAATACGCTGCTACTTCCATCATAACCTGACTGGACTATATCTGCAGGCAGAAAATATGATAAACTTCACTTCCCATGAATATTTAGGAATCATAAAAAGTACTGTATGTGTAGATAATTTCTGAACATTTCATAAGGTACTCATGTGTACATGACTACCCTGCCAGTACACGCTGATAAGCAGCAGTCTCAAAGGGTCCTGCTACAAATTGCCTTTTATTGGGAATACTTTTTTCAGCTTTCAGTTTAGCTAAACCAAGAATTAAGAAAAAAGATCTGTGGCTGCTCAACCACTTTAAAAATTGAATTTAGAAGATCTTTTGCAGCTGTGGCTAGCACTGTTTTGGCTCTACATTGTGACTGAGTGCTACCATCTTGTCACAGTTCTTCAGCATAAGCAACTGTTCTCCTTACTTTAAGATTCAGCTGTCCAATATTTAAATGTAGCTATATAAAAGAAAGACTGTGTTGTTGTGCCTTAAGAAAAATTCCCTCAGGAATAAATTTCTCATTGCTCCTTTATGTTCCAGGGTAGCAGAAACATAATGAAAAAATGTATTTGAAAAACATCATTGTTCACACTTCCAAAAAAGAAGTAAATTAATGGTTCTCCACTTTCTGGGTGGGCACTGTTTCCACAGCAGGATTTCCAGTAAGGTCCTTCTTTGTCATCCAAGAAACTGTCTAAATGGACCGAGGAAGATGACAGCTACTAACCTGTAAGATATATTTGTTGGTTTTAGATGTACCCAGCTGCCTGTTAAGATACTGTCTTGAAGCTTTTGTAGCTTAGCTTACCCAGTGCTAGTTCTATCTAATTTTTTTGAAAGTTCAAGGCATAGGCTGTGTGTTGACAGGAAGATTGGGGTTTTTTTTTTCTTTTTTTTTTTTCTTTTTTTTTTCCAAGTGTGAACTGTGGTTGAGTAAAGGAGACTTTTTTTTTTTTTCCGTTTCTCTGTTTCCTTGATGAATTTACTGAGAATAGCAAAATTTCAGTATCTTCTCTCCCCTTCTCCCCCCCAAATCTTAAGTCACTTAAACGGTTGCAACTCAGATTCTTGTTGTCAAAGTTCATTAATTCAAATTAGTGTAATAAATTGTACATTTTTGGTTTGGCCCAAGGCAGCTTTTGAAGTCTTTTTTGCCTATGGATTCCTCAGATGCTAACTATTTTGGTATTTCACTGTAAAGTAGTCTATGAACAGAATGGCAGTGAGAAGGGCTTGACAAGAAACAGAAGTATGTAACACAAAACACCAAAGTACTCACATTTCCGTTCACCTCTGCTAATAATTTCTCTTTGTTTTTTTTTTTTTTTTTCCTATGCCCCAGAAAGTAGAACTTTTATAGCAGGCACCCAAAGCCTGTTATGAGCCTCTCTGTAAGGGCAGCTGTTGCTTCATTTAGTACAGAGAACAGAAATACTTCCTTTTTTCCCCAGATATAGCCATAAATCTAAACAGAATGCATCAACTCCAGTTCACTGTGCCACAAGGCCAATTGTTTCATTTTCTTGGTTTCTTTGAAGTCATCTGAGCAGAGGAGGGAAGTGATTTGGGACATAGCTGTGCCCTGTGATGGAACTTTTTTTTTTTTTTTTTTTTTTTAAGAGTTCTGAAAACATCCTCAGAGTGTGCAGACCAGTCACATCGCTATTCTGTTTACTTTAGAGAGCATTCATTCTTTTGAAGAAGCTACTAATGTCTTGAGTGATCTATTCTGAACATAATTTATTTTTTCTTTTAAAGAAAAAGGTGCAAGGCATGAAATGATTTGTTGACCATAGCTACATCACTGTACAGTGATGCTGTCAGCTTCACTAGCAGTATTTATGATGATAATGTGCTATGAAAGATAGGCAACTGTACTTTAAGGTCTACATGCAAAAACATAAGGCTTTGCTATACTTAAAGAATGACATGAAAACCAACCACAAATGTGCAGTTAAAGGTAAGGGACTGTAGTATTTCTAACTCCTGGAGATTCAGTGGAGCATCTCACACTAGAAGAGATGCATAGACCCTGAACAACTAGAAGTCCATAAAGAGGCACCTAGCTAGATGATTGCTACCTCATAATATCCTTCTTCAACAAGCAGTAAGAGGGCAAGATGCAGCATGTGACTAAGGACAACTATACTGTACTCCATGTCCTGGCAATCACACAACTCATTTAACTGCTAACAGTTTTTAGCACATTATCCTCATATAGGCAAATCTGGATAGAAAGATGATGGGAAACATTTTTTTCAGTGACTCAGGTTATCTGTATGCTTAATGAGGGGGAAAGTTCTGCCTTCTTTCACATAAATAAATAACCACCATGTGCCTAAAATTCTGTGAAAATTATAAATATTTTATGTGAAAATGTTTCAAGGCAGATGGTTTATCTAAAAATAAATGCTATTTCATTTCAGTGAGAAGTAAAAACATATCTGAAGACATTAAAATGGAAAAGAAAAATACTTGGGGAATCTGCTTCAATTAGAATGGCGTTAAGGAGTTCATTACTCTATCTCAATTTAAGTAGACATGATGTCACACTAGCAGACTGGTTTTAATTTGTTCCAAATACTCAGTTGGGATGATTTATATCTCAATATTTCTGTCAAAGACACTTAGAGTTGACTATCTTTCCTGAAAATCATAAGAGGCTTTTGTTGACTGAATTGGGGTGAAGAATATCTACCTGCATGTTTAATTAAAATATAATGAGCTGTTTAAATTGGTTACTCTTAAGCTTCTCCAACACAGACCTGATTCTAGCTCTATCGTTTTATAAAGAAGGCCTTTTAACTTCTTTTTATTCTGACTTTGCATTTTCTATTCACTGTTCAGTTCTGGAAGAAATTTACAGGGTGGAACTTACAGGATGGACAAAATACCTTGTTGACTCTGCAGGTGTAAGTACTCTGCTGCAGTTTTCTATCTCTTCAGACATAGTAGTGCAACTCTTTACCAGAAGGCCTTTTTAAATATTTCTTTTTTTTTATTATTATTATTCTGATTTTATTTTTATTTTTTGGTAACTCTTACTGAGCGGCCACACATGCTGTTGTTCTAGTGCAATGGGAATGAAGTTTCTCAACAGACTAAACCAATCTAAACCAGCTTTGCCATGATCTTCCCTTCCTTTCTCTGGCGTTCTCCATTCCTCTTATGCTGGCATTGATGATTTCCAGTGACTTGGAGCTGGTTCCAAGGACTTAACAGAAATCTATTAGGGCTCTCTGTAGTTTCAGTGCTAGCACAAGAGAGGGGGTGGAGGACCCAAAGCAAAATATTAAATTGTGATTATGTCTGTGCTCAGATTGGCTTAATTGGTCATGGAATTGAAACTTGAGGGTATGGCAAACACTAACATGGGGGACACAAACTGCCAGGGCAGAAAAGAAAACTGGAAACTTCTGAACTGGCTTTTACAGCAATGCCAGCATCCTGAATAATTTCATCCACAGGGTTAAGATCAGCACAGATGGAGCCCAGAATCACTCATAACATGGTCTGTCACAGTTTGGTCCCCTCCATGTCCCCATGCTGTCTGCTGCAGTACAAGAAGCAGAGGACCAGCAGATTTTCCACAGGTAAGAGACTGTCCTCTGAAGGAAATCTCTATGGATCATGCTCAGATAGGGAAAGAATCTTAAGAACTTCCATAAGTAGCATAGTTTTTGAAGACACTGCCTGTTGTATCACTTCAATGCTTGAGCTGCTGTCTTCCACTTTTTTCATCCTCAGTGTATTAATAAGTATTAAGTGCTAGCCCTGTTAGTTGAATTCTTTCTTCAGGTGATTTTTGTCTGGGATAGTTTTTGTGCTTTTTGCAAGCAAAGCTGCACAATAGTGAACATTCTGGATGCATGTTCATCCAGTAAAGGCTACTTGTGCTCATGTAGAAAAAATACACTCAAGCCTACGAGGATAATATCATGTCTGATGTATGGAGAAGGGCTGTGGAGTCCCTTGGCAGGCATAGCATTGCTAGAAAGAGTTTTTTAAACTCTCTTTTAAGGAGTAAGTTTAAAAGCAAGCATTGCTACATTCTCAGTATTTATGCTTTAAGGAGGATAATAATTTCAGAATAAATTCAATCACTGTTTGAAGTTGGAAGGGTTTCTTGGAAACGTCTTAGACAACTCATTAGGGACAAAATTAACAGTGGCATGGAGGATTCAATTACGTTACATACAAATTAATCTACAAGAACAAGGAAGAAAAAAATGTCAAAATGATGTCACTTTTGTAAGTTGATTGCTTTGGCATACATATTTCTCTGTGTTACTCCATAATAGCTGCCATAAATTTAATGTAAGTTTCAATATTTTTAATTCAGTGTATTTGGCCTGACTGGGAAGACAAAGATCAGTGGGAAATATTAAGTATGCTTACTCAGAAATAAAGTCTAAAATATCACTGTGCCCTCTGGATGTTAAAATAAGAAGGAAAAATGAGTTAAATTCTGGCTATGACCAAATGTGGATGACAATAGTTAACGTGGGATTCCCATCTCAGTAGAAATTTACTTCAGCATCAGCGACATTCAACAATCGAAGGAAATAGTGGAAATCAATAGCAGGATTTCCTTTGACAATTCACTTTTATTCTTTCTTCCCTTAAGTCCCTTTTTTCTTGCCTAGTAAAAATTGTATACATCAGTGGCAGCTGGAGGGAATGCAACTTCAGGTCTGAAAATACCTCAGTCCATCAACAAGGAGGTGTGGCAGCTGGTTGCTGCTGTCATACAGGAAGGAAACTGCAGCCTTCACTTTGAGCCATGAGAAGCAAGTCAAGAAGGGGACACTCATGCTTACATCATGAACACAATGGGGCCAAGATCCAGAGGAAAATTGTGAGTAAAAGATACCATCACACAAAGTTGCTTAGTCACTTGTTTCCAGCAGAAACCACTGTATATGTAGGTATGTTCACAACAAGAAAATGAGATGCTGCCTGTACCTGCTCTAGCAGGAGTATCTCTTTAGAAATTAAAATTCCCTCTTGAAGATCCAGCTTCTCCACTCCTTATTCATAGTGTTGTGAGCACCCTGGAAGCTGAACTAGATCTCATTTCTGGGTTTTAAATTTAACCAGTTCGACCAACACTGTCTTGTCATTTTGGAATGAAAAATCTGCAAAAGGAAATAATGGGAGATTCATTTCAGAAGGGAATTCCTGATATCATTTTTGTTTATAAGACTAATGCTCCTACAGTAGCTCGTTCTCCTCTGCTTCACTGGAGAATAAGTCATGAGATGAAGATCCCAAGGACAGGAGGAATGGAGATATGCTGCACTTGGGTAGGAATTACGATGGACCTTTGTAGGTTGGATCCTGTTACTTGCTTTGGGCTCACATCAGAGAGATCAGCCTTCCAATCAGGCACTGTGTGATCATAGCTAGGATACTGCTGGGGATGCCTAAGCTGCTACAGTGTGACAGAAGCTCTCCATTGTGATCAAAACCATCTCTGCAAGAGAGTACATGGCTTAACCACATAATATACCTCCAAATAAAGTCTTTTGCTATCCATTAGCTTTACATGGTTTTTGAAGTTGCTTATGAACAAAAGGTAGGAAAGAAAAAAAAATTAAGACAAGAATATCATGTTCAGAGCTGTAGAAAATTAATACCTGTTTTCTGTTTCATTTGTTTTTCAGAGATCTACAGTATCCCATTGATGAGCTATGTGTGCAGCTAGCAGGAGTGTTGCACAAGGCAGCTGAAGGATACTGAATCAACAATTAATTGGCTGCCTGGCTTCTCTTGAGCTAGCAGCAGGGTCTAAAGAAAAACACTTGGAAGAGCTCAGAAACATTATTGTGAAGGACAGTATCGTGTGCAGTAGTCCTCTTACCCAGACAAAAACAGCAACAAACCCAAACCTTTGGAAATGCAAGTCATTTTTCTTTAGAAGACTGCAGGAGAAGCAGTGCTTTTTAGAGGAAATGTGAGAAAGGAAGCTGGTAAAATTCATACTATGGCCCATTCTCGTGACACATCATACAAGAAACACAAAGTTGAACATCTTGCACAACAACCATGCTATCTTTCATTACATCCTGTACAAAATATAGTTAAATGTACTCGCTAAAAAAAGTAGTTAAACAGTTTTATTATGAAAATGTTATTAGTGCTTTGACTTGTATGTAGATAGGGAAAGGAAGTTGTGACTTCTGGATGGAATACCTACCTCGACTCACAGAATAATTGGGGTTGGAAGAGACCTCTGGAAATCCTCCTGGCCAGCCTCCTCCCAGTGCATGTTCCCTAGAGTAGGTTGCCCAGGAAAATATTTTGGGTCTTGAATATCTGCAGCGGAGACTCCACAAACTCTCCAGGCAACTTACTCCAGTAATCTGTCACCCTCAGAGTAAAAGAGTTTTTTCTCATGGTCATGGTTTGTTATTTGTGTTTCAGTTTGTGCCCATTGCCCCTTGATCTCCTGTGGGCCACCACTGAAAAGAATCTGTGGCTCCAGCCTTGCAGTTATTTGCAGGTATTGATGATAAGATTCCCCTCAGTCTTCTCTTGTCCAGGCTGAATAACCCCAGGGCTCTCCATCTTTCCTCATACAGGAGCTGCTGCAGGATTAAGTCAATCCTCTGGACCCTAGAAGTTCCCCATCCCCATCTTTTTTGAACTGTGTAACCCAAAACAGAAAATAATAATTGAGATGTGGCCTCATCAGGGCAGATCAGATGGGGAGAATAACATCCCTTGACCTGATGGCCACTCTCTTCTTAACTCACCCCAGCATACCATGGGCCTTCTTGGCCACGCACCTCATTGTAATATGTTGTTCACCAAAACACCTACATCCTTCTCTACAGTGCTCCTTTCCAATAGCTCAGCCCCTAACATATATGCAGTTATTTCCTCCAGATATCAGATTCTTCACTTGCCTTTCTTGAACTTGCCCAACTTTCCAGCCTGTTTATGTCTCCCTGAATGGCAGCACAGCCTTCTCGTGTCAGTCACTCCTCCCAGTTTCATATGATCAGCAAACTTGCTGAGGTCACAGATGATGATGCTAAACAAGACCAGATTCAACACTGACCACTGGTGAGCACCTTTAGGCCTCCAATTGGACTCCTTGCTGTTGATCTCAGTCTTCCATGCTCTGTCAGCCAGCCAGTTCTCAATCCACCTCAGCCAGTTTTCAGTCCACCATACAATGATGTTCAGACTTATTTCACAATGCTTGGAATGCTTATATACTTAATTAAGAGTATGTTGATCTAGAATAATTATAAGAATTTCATCAACTTCTTCATTTCCTGACTGAAAATTAAGGTTTGGGTGTTGCGATTTTTTTTGTTTTGTTTTCTAATTCGTTTCATTTTTGTGATTTTTTTTTCCCCCTCAAATAAAATAAGGTAAGATAGACATCAAGCTACCATCATATAGATAGTATTAGCTACTATCATTATGACTTCATTTGATGCACATAAAGATACAGACTGAAGTTCATCATGCATTACACCTGGGAAGAATATTCAGAGGACCAATTTGAATTCAGTATAAAAAAACATTAATATTATTGGTGCTGAGATTTTTTTGTGATCCACTACCAGAAAAAGGACTGAGACCAGGTCTTTTATTTCTTCCTTTCTAACTCACCACGCCAATACCATGCCACTTGACTGCAGCTGGTATTTAGTAGTTTTCAACCAGCATCCCCTTCGCTATAGTAAAACTCTTTATTTTAAGAAGAATTATTTACTGGGATTTTTCCCTGTCTCTCCAGAATTACATGTTCATGAGGCAAACCTTATCCAATGACCATTTTCATTCAACAAAATAAGAAATCTTTGTCTGTAATGCTGCAGCTCTTGCTTTTGATTATTTCCCTAATGGCTTCTGAAAAAAAAAAAAAAGAAAAAAAAAAAGTCAGATCAAGTAACAAAACCTATTTTCCTTTTATTTCTATATCTATTGAAAAGTGCTTACTCATACTTCGTTAACTTCCATCTTTCCATCTGAACATATTGTACTCTGGTTTGGGGGGGACACAGAGAAACATTTGCACACTGTGGCCAAAGCACGTGTACAAACCTAAGACACTGTTAAGTCATCCTTTGAGTTCTGAATGTCGATAATAAAAGCTGTTTTTCTTCCATCAGTGATCGAAGCCTCCATTAAGACTAAATGACTTATATAAAACTGAACTCACAATCCAAAGCCTTAAGGGAAACATCCAGAGCACAGATGCACCACTGCTTTTCAAAACTTTTCTCAATGACTGATCTCAGCACAGATCGATGGATATATGAAATCTGATATGATCGTACTACAACTGGGGCCTAAAATAAGCAAATAGGCTTGTTTGGACCAACTTGCCTCTCACACTCATATCAGTGCAGATTAAGACTTACACTGAATTAATTTTTTCTAAAAAATATTAGAAGCTGTATCAGTTTCCAGGAAACCAAAGGTTCTCATGAAACTAAGTATTTCTAAATTCTAGGTTTAAAGCTTTTCTTCTTTAACTTAAACAGCAATAAACATGGCTTTCAAGAGACTCACTGTAAAGGTGCGATCCTCTTAAAAAAATAAAATATTTTTTTTAGAAAAGGAAAAGTGTGCACATCCAGCCACTTACTAGGAAATCATACAATATTCTTGATTACTGAATTGCTAACATACAGGACTGATATTTTCTACTCACATAATACACCCACTTCACCTTGTACGCTTGAGAAACCTTCAGCCCTCTTATAACTATTTACCAGTATTGCTGACTAAATGATGTAACCTGAGAGGTGACCCAACATCTCCTAATGACAACAGAAATTTCCCCATGCTTTAAAGGATTGCTTTTTAATTTTCTTTTGACTGTGTAAAATAAGCCAAACTTTATTTTGTGTTCATTTTTCCTTGAGAGGAAAAATTTCCTCTCAAGGAAAAACTTCCATTAAGGTTTAAATAATCCCACAAACCATAACATGAGCTGATTTGTGAGGTTTAAAAGCTAGTGAAAATAGACACCCTCGTGATTTCATCTTCTTTGCTGCTTATTTACCTGTGTCACATAGGTAGACAACTACCCAGATTAGGCAAGTAGATATCTGATGTCTAGAAGGAAGAGAAGTAGAGAGAAAGGGAAAAGGAGAGATCTGTATGATCAACAGGACAAGAAACACCAATTTCAAAGGTTGGGAAATTTAACTTTAGTAACAGTATTAGAGTCCTATATGAACTAGATGGATTGAGGGCACTACTAAGGCACTTGACTAAGCAGTTTAGAGAAAACACTCAGGAAAACAATTTTAGAAACCTTTTTCTTCGATAAAAAAAAAAAAAAAAGAAGAAGATTTGAGATACATTTCAAGATCCTAGATGGCTTTTGCCAGACTAAGTTCCTATTGAACATTGTCATCACACATGTAAGTCAGTGGGAAAAAGCATGAGTGAAGTCATAAGAGTGAGTTATGTGTTTGCCAGCTCTATAAGGAGAGAAAGGATATTGCCAGGTCATCACTATTAACAAGTTCTCAGACTTCTCATGCACGCTGTGAAGGACTAGGTCATTGTTGAAGCTGTTGAAGCTGCAGTCCATTTCCTTCAGAAACCTGAGACAGGAAACAGAAGCACAAGGGAACAAAAGAAGCAGCAGAAGTCCAGAGACAGTTCCATTATAATCACATGTGATTCTGCAAAATATTTCCCTTCTCTTCCTCCATAAAAATACCTACATTAAACAGAGATAAGAAGCTGCTCAAGAAGGAGGACTTCAGTCTTTCATGGATTTGCCCTTTTTTACTTCATATTCAAACTTTTGACATATGATTAGTATTACTTATCCTTGCAAGCAAAAAGCCTGAAGTGCTTGGCTATTCAACCAGGAAAGACTGATAACACACACACACACACACACACACACACAAAAAAAAAAAAAAAAAAAAAAAAGCCCTCTGGATTCCCTCCCTCTGATTTTAAAGGGCATTCAACAGATTTATTGCTTAAAAATATAATTTTTTAAAATTGTTTCTTTTTCCCTGAGCTAAGTATTTGCCCTCCTTTTTTACTGGAAAGATACCACCACAATATGGCAACTGAGTCAAGATTAATAAGTCAGTGTTATTGCTGAACCGAAGACACCAAAAGAATATTTGCATTCCAAGGCTCCACTGACTCCAGTAAGCTCTGTACTGAGAGCTCTAGGGATGACATAATATTAAATTAAACAGGTTTTCCAGTAATCACAGTAATTCATCCTTCCTAGTGCAACAAGACATATAAGAGATCACTATTAGCCAAGAAACTTTTTAGATTATTAAATACGTTTTCTCCCAATTAAATGCACTGAGGATACATTTTAATTGCTCCCCTCAGCATTTATCATTGAAACAAACAAACAAGTTCTCATTCCCACTGAAATGGTTAAATGCTGAAAGTTATCAAGGACCTTTTCATAATAGAATTGGCAGTATTACCCCTGGGCTAACGCATACAGTAAAGGAAATTAAAAGAGGCTGCAAAGGAAAAGTAGAAGTAGAGCTGGCTCTTACTGAGTCGATGGCAAAAATCCTTAGCACTACAATAAGACAAGAACAAGACCCAACAGCATGAATTTACTGCAAAGCCAAGAGAAATTTTAAAACATAAGTAATAAAGAACAGCAAAATGATGAATCCTAAGAAGATAGATATCACATTTATTAATACATAAAATAATTTTCCAAATATACATTTTAGTTTGCTTTTAGAATTAGTATGCAAGATATTAATACAAGAAAGAATTTATTTTCTTAGTCCATTTGGTTTTTTCCCCCCTCACAGTATACATGCAGCATAAATGCATTCATATTTGTGTATATCTGTACCATGTGTGTCTGCAAAGAAAGAAGGACAATAGTAACATGGGCAGGAAATAGAAAATGTTCCATTTTCTAAACTTACCCTTGCCTCCAAATCATTACAATGCCAGATTTTATCAGGAACTCTTCTTTTTTTTAAAAAAAAAAAAAAAAAATTAAAGAGAATTTCAGTTCCAGATGGAGTCTACAGTGATGCTACAAAGATAATATAAGGAAGAGAAAGTGGAAACAGATGCGTCATTTTCAAAGAGATGGATTACATTAGTGTAAAACTCTCCAAACATTATGCGTGTTGTGACATCTGCAGCAATAAGCTCAGACCTGAGCAGATCTTTTCCCTTCCCCCTCTAGGTATCCTGGTTCGAATAGCCACTTCTAACTTTTCAGCTTCACAGATTGTAAGGGATCCTCTAGCCTGACACCTCATAGACTTCAGATTTTCCAGAATTAATTCTTAGAATCACAGAATCATTAAAGTCGGAAAAGATTGCTGTAATGCTAAAATGGGATCATAATAGCAAGATGGTAAAGTCTCTGGCCACAGCAAATAAGAACAAGCCCAAAAGCATACATGCAGAAACAAAAAAGGGAGAAAAAAAAAACAACCCAAACAAACAACCCAAACAAACAACCCAAACAAACAACCCAAACAAACAACCCAAACAAACAACCCAAACAAACAAACAACTGCTTACCTTTAGAAGACCTCAGGTAGGGAGTCAAGAGATGCCCTCACCTCCACTGCCAGCCCTTAAATGAGGTCTGGGAAGGGGTGGATCCTGGCTCCACCCATTCCAGTTACTGAATTGCATAGCATTCACCTGAGCTCCCTTAGGTTGGCCCTCTCTTCTCCCCAGGTGCTCAATCACTGTTTCAGGCCAAAAATTAGCATTTCTGCTACAGCCTCTAAGATCATCTAATCCAACCATCCATGTGCCACCAATGCTGCTCACTAAATCATATCCCATGTCTTGAAACATGCCATGCTTGCCTTGAATTGTGCCAGTTGACAGCACGACTCTACTTGCTATCTGTACTCATGATTTTTTTCTGCCAGGTTAAAATTCTGCCTATTCCAAAGCTTTTTTTCTCCACATACATGATATTTAGTTGCAAATCTTCTCTGCAATATACTAAATACATCCCAGAGGCTTTCACTATCCATAGGTACAAGGTTCTCAGGCCTGACCTCCTGCTCTCGAATCTGCAGGCCTTGCACATCTGAGAAGAGCCACCTCGAAGGATTACCAATGATTTTTTCACAGTCATCATTTTCTCTGTTGCGTTGTCATTTAGACAAATGACCTTCCATTTAATCACATGAAAAGAAAACATGTATATATATATATACATACACATATGTATATACGTGCATCAGTACTCCAAGCTTTTTTGCATGGATATCTCGATACTCAGTCTCAGTACTTTCTGAAAATCTCAACATTCTATTTTTTCATATTAGTGACTAAAATGTTACCAATGCATAGGCAAAGAACCATTCCTCCTGTACTATTGTCAGCTCTCTGAGAAGTTTACCGTTCAAAACCCACTACTGAGGTTTCAATATGTATCATATTATTGATTGTCCCTTTTAACTCTTGACCAGAATGCCAAACGTCAAATGCTTAGGTGCCATTGCCTTTAGCATTGTCCTTTTTTTTTCTGGATTGTCTGATGCTGAAGACACCCTCTTCATTTCTCACACAGAAGTTGTTCAGCATCCCCCCCATGATTCTTCCAACTATTGGAAGCATTGTCTTACTTATTAAAAATATTGGTACTGGCATAATTTTCTTCCCAGTTCTAGATGAGAACTAATGTTTAGATGGTAGTTTATCAAGCATAAGTTTATCAAGAAAAACAAGTGCTCAATGTCTTTAAACATCAGATGTTTAAACAGTTTAAACATCAGTTTGGTGTGAATGTATCTCTTAGTTCTTTTTCCATTCTCAGGGCATGAATATTTACTGAGCAATTCTACTCCTTTTTATAATTATAGACAATTCTCTGAATTTCTTTTAATGATGGAACAATGCAATAGGTGGATTTCTTCTCAGTATTTTTTAAAATTTCCTTCTGACATTCTAGAAATTACCCAGAGTTCTCTCTTCGTGCATTTGTATTGAAGTATTGAAGAAGTCCTATCTACCTATCAAATTTCCCTTTCCTTCATTTATAGAAATGTACATTTTCCTGTTTTTTTTTTTTTTTTTTTTTTTTTTTTTTTTTTTCATATCTGCTTTTACTTTTTCTTCAAATAAAAGTTTGGTTGTTTTATTATATTTTATATATATATTATATTATATATTTATTTTTCAAGCTACGGCAGGGGAGATTCAGGCTGGACATGAGGAAGTATTACTTTTCAGAAAGGGTGGTCAGGCACTGGAATGGACTGCCCAGGGAGGTGGTGGAATCGCCGAGCCTGGGGGTGTTCAAGGAAAGACTGGATGTTGTGTTGAGGGACATGGTTTAGTGGGAGCTATTGGGAATAGGTGAACGGTTGGACTGGGTGATCTTTTAGGTCTTTTCCAACCTTGGTGATTCTATGATTCTATGATTCTATGATTATTATTATTAGTTTGTTTTCTTCTGGCTGTTTTGTGTCTCTATTTTTTTAACCAATATGGCTTTGTCTCAATTATGGCTTTTGGAGTATTTGATAAAATATTCCTAAGTAGCTCCCAACTATCATTCACAATTTTCTTTTAAAATGTTTTCTCCCATATTATTCAGCTCTTAAATTTTTTCAGTTTTATCAGGCTGTTCTTTCAAAACACCAATACAACATGCGGGAAGGTGAATGTATGTTTTTTTACTTTTTTTTTTTTTTGCTACTTTGAAAACTGTTTACTTTCTCATATCTGATATAATATTGCTGAAGATATATAGCAAAACATCAGCAATGGTATTAACAGCAGTTTGAATTTCCCTTTTGTTTATTGAGGACTTAATGTTCTGGAAGTAGAATTCTGAGAATAAAGGAATGGAAAAAAAAGCCTACCATTCTAATAATGTTGAGAATAGCCACGTAAGTCATTTAAAGATTCAGTCATCAAGTTCTGTCCTATGACTTGGTGCTTCAATATTCTTACCATCACAGCGAAACCAAAAACAGATTTTGATTTGTAATTTGTTACCAGATAAACAGATTAACCTTATTCCCGAGAGACAGGTCACATCTTTCCAAGAGACACAGACCTTCACATTTGAGATTTCCACCTTTCCTCTGACATGCGTATCTTGACTTTTGACAAATACTTGGTGGTAAGTCAGCCAGGCTTTTCAGGAGAACAATTGGTCTCTTTGGAAGCTGGTAGGGAAAAGGGCTTGAGTGAGTACCATTAAATCAATTTATATATCCAAAAGCAATAAAGTTTATATATTCTAAAATAAAATAAAATAAAATTTTGATTTTCATATGCATTCTGTACTGGACTACATTTGATCAGCAGGTCAACAGTGAAGGTGCATCACCAAGATGAGTTGGGTAACATTTCACTTTGTGAAAAAGAACTACATTTGGACATCATTTCATTTTTTAATAAATTATTCAGTTGTAAATTTTTAAATCAATTTGTTAATTTAGCAAAAAATAAGAAACAGACAAAGAAAATCATTCTTCTTTATGCTCTTGGTCAGTGTTTAATACACTAGAAACTGATATTCGTTGCTGACCCTTTGGAACAGAAATTTCTCCCAAGTATTACATAATTCAATTATGGGCTTTGTTTAATGATTCAGAGAACAGTTTAGATCATTTTTCCAGTGAGCTCCTTAATGAAATAATCACTGTTCTCTTGTTAACAGGATTAAAAGATATGCAGTAACTGACATGAATTACAAGAGAATTAGTTGAAGAAATCATTCGAAGAGATCTAGTATGGAATAGGTAGAAATAATTTGAATGCCAAGATCTATTTCCTTATTATTTTCAGGGAGAAGGGGCTTCTGAAACTACTGATGGTGAACTGAAAGACTGTCAAGATTATCCTGCCAAACTGTTTATAAATTAGTTCAAAGGGATGAGAGGTGGCTATCTACAGGAAATTTGCCAAATCAAGTAACCCTTCAGATATACTAATGTACCAAAAAACAGTTCCAGACAGCTTTTAAGTGTGTGAAATGTTTTGTCAGTGCCTGGTCAGTAATAACGCTCATTAGAGACCCAGGGCAGCTATGGGAGGGAGTGCTTTTGCACAGATGTATTAATTATTCACTGGCAAATACATTGAGACATCAACAACTTTTTGCTGAATGCTGCTAATCAAGGACTATTTCTGGAGTTAGAACAGACATTCTGGTAAGCCATTTCCATTTTGTGAACCATAAGAAAAGCACAAAATTTCTCAAAGTAGTTAGCCTTAATTTCACTGGTCATGGCAAGAATGAATGAATTCAATAGGTAAGCAGAAACGATCAAATAACTGCTTTTCTGTGTTTGAAGGCTGGCAAAGAAAACAAAACAGTGTAGAGTGCTTAGAGAAGAAAATGTTCTTGTTCATTAAAAAAAACCCAAGATTTTACAAAGAAGATATCACAAAGCTAAGTTTCGTTTTGAGAGAAAATTTAATTCCAAATGTTTGTAGTATGAATCTAAGAAAGAAAAACTAGGTTTAAGGAGAATAATTAACCTTTTCTCTGATCACTTAACAATTAAAATAATTCCCATATCTGTTAGGAATTTGGTTCCATTTATTAAGAAGTTGTAAATCTACCTCACCCTGTTCCTTTATAAATGACTGATAAGCCAAGATGTAAACACTCAGTCTCTCCCAGATTTTCTTCATTTCATATTAAAACATGAAGTAATAATTCACAATAATCACAGAGTGGAAATCTGTTTTCCTATTTCATAAGGTGAGGAATTTAATTATTATGCTGGGAAGTCTTTTTTTTTCCTCTGGTTCAATAAATATGTAGATGACTTGCACAAAGAAATACATCTACGAAAGAGCATAGCTTTAATTAGGATACTTAAAGAAGATGACTACAACATTCTTCCAAGTGTAGATTGTCCATTCTGTACATATAACATTATTTAAATGCTTTTTGTTTGAGAAGTGTTTGGGATCCAAGTCTCCCACTTTCTGAAAACGTCCTCTGACTACATATTACTATTTAAAAGACAGCTTAAGCCCAATAAGAAAATAAAATGAACCTCAACCAAGCTGAATATAGAAGAAAGATTTGAAGAAATATCAACGAAGGTGAAAATAACCAAAAATGAAACCAGTGAGATATAGGAAGCCATTCAATTAACCACATATTCAGCAGTCAGACCAAAATAACAAATAAAAAACCTTTTTAAATTAAAAATTCTATTTAAAAATTCTTTTTTTGAATAATGCTGAGACATGATGCATTTTTTTTTCCCTTAGAAGTTCTTTTTCTTTCTTTTGTAAATAAAAGCACTATCAAAGAGTGTTAAAGTTTTCTTATTTATGTGCAAGCTCCCTCCCAACCTCCCTTTTATTTCCACTGATGTGAAATGGCAAAACTGGGACCATTATTGTACAGTAATTTCATCCATGATTCTACCAAAGGAACAAGCAAAAGAAATGTTTCCATCTGATCAGAACACTAGGGATTAAGAAGGTATAAAAAGAGAGGAAAAAATAATACAGCCTGAAAAATAAAACAGGCTGAATAAGTTTAATCAGAAGATCCTAAAGGATTGTGCCAGTTCTGCTCCTATTCAAAATTGACACTGGTGTAAATCCGAAGCTGTCATGTATGGAGTAATAACGACTGGGAGAAAATAGAGAGCAAATGCTCTTCTAATTTCATTCTAATTTATGTATTGTTACGTGAGTCAACTGGATCTCAAAGAAATTAGGCAATGATAGAGATTTTAGAGAAGTAGCAACTCATCTGAATGACAACAGTTTTCCAGAACAATGAGAAAAACCAAGACTCAGCTGTTTGAAAGTGGCAGAATATATCTGCAAGAAAAAACTGTTATGTTGAACACAGTTAGGAGACTGATGCTCTGCAACTGAAAAAGACTCTTCTTAAATGGATAAGACATATAGGAGATCTCTTTCCTTTGCTGGTAATGGGCACAGACAGTGATGCAGCGTCAGAGCTTCCCCTTCCCCATGCTAGTGACAGTAGTGATGCTACCGATGAAGATGAGATTTCTTTGGATGCACACATTATCCAAAAAACAAATAGGAAGGGACAGCAGCAATGAGTTTTTTAAATAACTGTAGGAACGATAAGGAGGTTGTCAGGGAAAACAGAGAGCCACAGGGAGACAGGCTGCACTGAAGGCTGAAGTTGATGTCTTGAATTCCTGGAGTCAAGGGCAAAACCTCTCCTGGCATCTGCAGAGCCAGGAGCTCACCCTCGGCGTGCAAAGCACAAAGGGATGAGCTGTGCTCACATCGAGCTGACTGCAGAGCCCAGCCAGGCAAATACAGCTGCTCGTAACAAAAGCTGTTCTCCTGAGATATTTTGATTTCTGAGAGGCACAGACATTTGCCCCAGTCCTGTTTCCTTAAAAACAGTGAATGCAAAACTTTATACAGGAGGCAACTCATTTCCACATCAGAAAGAATTCCATCAAGAAATCATTACTCCGCTAAACCTTACATAATCATTTAAAAGTAAATCTTCTTATTCTCTACTAATAGCAGGGTAAATGAAACATAAAATGACCATAAAAAAGAACTTTCTGAGCTCAATATGACAGCATGCTAATTTGTGACAGCAGTTACTTCTCCCTAAGTTGAAAGATTTAAAATGAATTTCAGAGCACAGCAGAAGTATGTCAGTCCTAATATGTCAAGGGAGTTACTTTGGAAAACCTCCCTATATACCCAGAGATTGATATGAGTGAGGATATTCCTATGTTCTATTACAAGTAATATATCTGTAGCCGGCCTTTGTCAGAATGCACATATTAATCATCCAATTTTACTGAGTAACAGGAGTAACATTGCCACTGGAAAAAGAGACTTGCAAGATGGCTTTTAGGAACACCAGCAATCCAGAGAAGAATTAGCTAGGATGAAAATTTAAGTCCCAGTTTTCAAAAGCTTCTTCCATCTCTACTCGTTTTCCTTTGTTGAAAAGTGACAGTGATTGATGTCTTCTCCCACCCAAAGCATGCCGTGGTTATTGCTCCTTATGGTTGGAATTAAGCTAACAGCCTAGCTCAAACACTCACCCATCTAGATGAAGTATTTATTAGCCATGAATCCCTCTGTTCTTACACCACCTCAAAGTTCTTGTGTACGTCACTGAGAAAAACAAAGGGAAGGACTTTGGCGTTCAGTCAGAGAACTCCAGCACCAAACCCTCTAATAAGGCAGGCAGGCATGGAACGACTCTGAGGGAACAGATGTTTAAACCATATAAAGCTGAAAAAGAAAATAAAGAGCAGCTGAATTACAAAGGAGGGAAGGACACAATGTTTGTCTATGGTTAAACTACTGTAAACTTTGAAATCTGTATTATGGAATCCATTAAAAAAACCATAAATTTGCTTTTAAAGTAATAGTCATAAGATTTTTACTTTGCCATTATTTATGGTATAATGAGAAGGTATGTTACTAGAATCCCACAAAGTAAATAGATGGATTTCATTAAAATTGTCCTGATAAAGAGTAAAATTGAAGAAAAAAAGGAAATAACAATTTTTATTTCATGCCAATTTATTTTCATAGAGTGATTTGTGCTGCAAAAAACAAGGAAGAAGAAAAGATGGGGAAAACTTTTCCCTTTCTTCCATAGCTTAAGTAGAGTTTTTAAATGGCATTTGAAGTGCGGAAATGACCTACTTCCAATTGCTTCTATATTAAGAATCTGGCCACATATTCAATACTTGCCTGAAGAATCAAAGCAACATACAAACTCAGATCAGGATTGATTTGTCAACACATTGGTTAAATAGTAGATTTATTGCTGAGCATGTGCTGTAAAACTGAGTTCTTGAAACTCTGCCCCAGTAGGGTCCTTCAGGGACATACCTCCTGGCTCACTCCCTCCTGTTCTCCCTTCCTTTCTCCATTCTGATGGCTGTAAGAGGAAAGCAAAAATCACAGGCAGATTATGGCTTTGTGCCCCTCTTTAAGGTCATCCCCATGCTAGAAAGGGGCTACTATCAAGGTCTGCTCAAAGTAGAACCAGGACTGCTGTAGGTATTGTGCTTTCACAGGATACTCATTCCCCACTGAACTACAGGAGCCCCAGAAGCTCACCCACCCACTGCCCCAGATCTGCTCCTGCTAGAGCAGTTTCTCACAACATGAAGACTGTTATGACCAGAGCAAAAAGGTTGCACTATTTTATGGATTCCATTTCAAAAGAAACATAGAACTGTAGAATGGTTTGTATTGGATGAGTCCTTATGTATAATCTCCATCCCTCCTGCCATGGGCAGGGACGCTTCTCACTGGACTGTCCAGAGCTTCATCCAGCATGGCCTTGAATACCTCCATAAATAGTGCCTCTACAGCTTCCCTGGGCAATAACAGATGAAGAATTCTCAGGAATGAGCCTTTTCCCATCACTGGGAAAACAACGCTGCACCAGTGCCAGTCCAGGGCTTGCATTAGGAAGGCTGGTCTCCCTACCCCTCTTTCCCAAAAACACTGTGTGATGTTTATGGATGGTTTATCCATCTTATATTACAAGGCAGAAGATATGTCACCCAGCAGCAAACACCCCATGCAGAGTGCAAATGGGAAATGAATGAACCATTCAGCTTGCATATGATTTTCCCACTGTGTAGAAAACACAAGTAGGAAACAGGCCCTCATAAACTAAGACTACTAATTTTAGTCTTGTGTTGTAGTTATGGCCATGATAAAGTCTGTAGCTACAGTACATATAGAGGGTTCTGCCCCCAATTCCATCTCTCCAGTTTCCATCTCAAATGGCCCACTAGATCTGAGATAACACTTATCTGCATCTTAAGCATTGTTTCTCTCCTGCTGCTGCTGAGTTCCCTAAGCACACTAGTGTTTTTCCTCTTCCAGCTTACACCCACCACAACTGAGGGTGAGAAGCCAGAGCTGGGTGCAAATTTCCAGGTGAGTGCTCAGCCAGCCTTGGGTTAGAGGTGCTAAGGCTTCACAAAAAACACCTCTTCTATTTTGTTTTAGACCATACTTTCATTTTTCAGTGGCAGATCTTAGAAATAGCTCTTTAGTCTACTTTCATAATTTGAATTATCTTCCATTTTCTTGTTGCCCACAGATGCACTTCCGGTTTATTATTCCTACATCTGAACCTTTGCATTTCATTTTAATATATATGACCACATCAAAGACCTGGAGATGCTTGTCCACCTTTGTAGAACAGTGTTCCAATTCTTGCGCATATTAATAATATTTTCCAAATCTGGGTCATCTATTCATTTCTTAATAGCCTCTGATGCATTGTTCTGAGACCCACAGCCCAATGCAAGGTGATGTCTGCAAACAAATCAAATCTCTCTAAACACCTGCAAATAGAAATATTATTTGCAGCTTTTCATCACGAAACATTGCCTAGTGGTGCACATGCGCTTTTCAGATGTGTGCTTATGTGCACAGAATATGAACATTAAAAGTGTGTCCTTTAACACTGCCCAATCATGTTGGCAATTTCACACTCTCAACTCTTAAGCTAGGGGTCTAAGAAGCTGAATTTTCTTTGGGATGGAATGTTCTCAGACAGAATGTAAATTCAAATTACAGAGCAACTTTGATCCCATTTCATGTTCTAATTCTAATGGTCTAACTGTTGATGTTGATTTACTAGGAATAGAATAATCATAGCAAGAAAAGAAGACCCATGAAGTCCTTTTCATGCAATTATTTTTAAATCAGCAGGCCTTCTGATCACCACTGCCTAACAGTGACACCTTCTGGAAAAAGCTAGGAGTGAAGAAGATAACTGCTCAGCAGATAGTGTGCAGGATGGGGCATGAGATAGCTTTGGAGCACTTGTTTTGGTCAGGATTTGGATGTTAAAACACCTGTGCAGAGCACTATCATGGCCACCCTATGGTTTCAACGCTTCTCATGGCTCATGGTTTCACAGCTTTTGGCTTATGGCTTTAGAATTCTTTAAGAAGAAGAATCTACCAGAATAAATTCTCCTGCCTATATTCATTTTACTCCATAAGGGAATACTCAAATATAGGATGGCAGCATCACATCTAAGCAGTTGCTTAGAGTCTCACAGAGGTCAAAGTGAACAAACAAATGGAAATAGAAATACTCTATGCTGAAATATTCTTTGCATTCAAATCCTCTTGGAATATTTCTGTAATTTGAAAGGGGCCAGGTTAATGCTGGAAGCTTAAGCTAGAAGTATTAATTCTTTAAAACAGAATAGTAATTTAAGTGTATGGACTTCCAGATTGGGTAAATAGGCAAAATGGGAAAAACAATCCTCAAAGTCTCTTAGAGGAGCAAAGCAGAAGACATAAAAATACATTTTCCTTTTCTAGACTGTAGTTTAGCTGCTGACAATCCACTGCTGTGACACAGCTCCCAGTTTCATCCGATGCTCCCTTGGTGTTAACTCAGAAGAAAGCTTCACTTTAGGCCTCCCACAATAAACTATTGCAAGAGTGGCTGTGCTGTCTCTACCTAAACTTACAGACAAAACTTACAAGCAAGAAGGGCTTTGAGATTGGTTGCTATTCAAGCAAATAAAAGTTTTGCAAGTAAGGTCTGATATCCCAGGATAGTAACATTCTGTTTGTTAGCAGCACTGCTCTGAAGATTGCTTTGGTGAGAAAAGTGTAGGAACAAAAATTACATTACAAAAATTACATCACAAAAAACTGAAATCTCACTGAAACCTGAGTCCTAGGCCTCCCCACCCTTACATCCCTCCCCCAGAGACTGAAACACAGTGATTTTTCACATTCTCAGAAGTGACATCACAAATAGGAACTCCAAAATGTCTCAACATCCTTACCAGTGTTGTCACTGGTGACACCAGTGCCATGAATTTCTGTGCATTTGCATAACAGTACTAGCTATAAATTTCCAGCTTACTCGTTATTATACGTAAGCATTAAATCAGCACAGACATACTGATTTAAAACAGATGAAGAACAGACCTTTAGTTTGGACACAAGATCATTTAGGAGAGGAAACTATTATATGGAAAATAGCCATTACAACTATCAGAACAGAACATTAGTCAAGTGAGCTCAGCTATATTCGTGGGATATGGATCTTATGCCTAAATCCAGAAAGCTGGCTGACATTCACACAGTCCAGAGCACAACATGCTGAGTGTTGAACCTCTGAGAAATGTGGCCTACATGTACATCATGGAGACATCCTCGATTTCTGAACTCCATAGTCATTCAGGCTGCACAGTTGGCCTATCTGGTATTACCCAACATAGAGCCAGTACATGGCTAAAACTTTCGGTTTCAAGAGACTGAAAATCAACCCAATGCTATCCGTAACAGAGACTTGAACCTTCAAGAGTCTGCCCAACTCCCATCATCCTCTGTGTACTGGTAGTTCACGTCTCTCATTCCATCTGAAAGAGGACCCTAGGTGTCTCCCAGATAAACACTACTTACATTGCAAAACAGGACTCTGGGAAACTCTACTTTGCAGATTCACTTTCCAGAAGACAAGAAGAGAAAAATCTGTAAAGCAATAAAAAAAACATCATGTATAATCAGTGTTGATGACAAGGTCTAAAAATCATGAAATCTCCCGTCTTCATTTTCAAGCATAGATCTCCTTTAGCTAGGTCTTACAGTCTCATCTGAAGGTGAGGTGTTCAGATGACAGATCAGAAAATGCAGGATCCAGAATACTGGGTAGTGTAGGATTTGGAGTAAAGCAAAGAGCAGGCAATGCAGATTTTATTTGTTTGTGAATTCAACATCTGACTTCAATGCACTTAAATCTGTGCTATGTTGTAGCTGCCCACTGTGCGGGAGGTCACAGGGTTGGATTTAATACATGTACTATGGAGAATGTGTGATGGAAGAAGCCATATTATGTACTGACGGTAATTCATGAGAGCAAAAAGGGAAAGAGGGAAAACTAACAGAAATGAACTGATAGCAGGGAAGAGACAAGCACAGTGATTTAAATGAAGGGGTTTAGGGCTAGAATTCAAGCAGATGACTATCTTAGAATTAGATTTTCTTCTTCAGGGTTATCAGATTTATCACAATGAGTTCAGACCAGTTTTGAAAGCCTGCTATAGCTGCCCTTACAGAGGCTCTGGAAATGTTACCTTAGTAGAAGTGCTGGAGAAACCGGAATAAAACATTTTTGTAAAGAACAGCCGAAAACAGTGACTATAAGATCCTTGAGATCAGCTGAATACTAAACGAAAAATAATCAAGATACATGGGTATTCTGTACTGTATATAGTTATCTCTCATACAAGACACATAGCTATATACCTCTCATATACCTCTCATAAAAGATATATAGTGTATAGTTGCCTCTCATAAAAGATTTAAATCCAAGTTTCTTTTCAGTTCAAGAAATAATCTTCAGAAAGGACTCTTTTACTGTAATAGCAATCCATATTAATTTACTACAGCAATAACAGGAGTCAGTTTGCCAGTTGGTGTTTTGCTTTTACTATAAAGCTTAAAATGGAAACTGTGGCCTGATGAAAACTGTAAAATTCCAGTAAATGGGATTAGTCATCCTTTTGTGTGCCCTAGTTCCAGATATCAAATAACAAGCAGTGACACCCTCAGCTACCAAGTGGAAGCAAACATACTTCAAAAAGGAATAAAAAGCCACAGACAGGATGAGTAACATTTGACATTTTCCTCTCCGGAATTTCTGTAAATGTCTCTTTCCCAGAGGATAAATATATTCAAAGATATTTAGTCCATTGTGGTATTACTCTTTGATAAAGCACTGTGAAATCCAGAGGGGGGACATTAATGAGAGCATTTTAATATTTTTTTGCAGCCTGTGATGATTTAAGCATTTGAAATCAAGATTAGTATAGCTGATGACAAAATTGCATAAGTTCCGATCTAGCAGCTTCCTCAAGGCTTTAGAGAGCTAATAGTTTCTTGAGTCTTTTAATTTTACACCCAGGAGAAGAATTCCATTGAATAAGAACCTATTGATTGTACAAATATTGTATGCCTGTTTGGATAGAATATGAAATGCATCAGACTTTAGAAAAGATTATTATTTCTTCTTTAGAGCCCAGCAAAAACCTTAAATATCTGCATTCTGCACACCTTGTTCACACAATATATTAAACCGAACCAGTGCTTGGACAGTCCAAAGCAAGGCAACAGATTTAAAAAGGCTGCTTAAGTAAGTAAGCAAGAATAATGGTCAGTTGCTATCTAGAAAAGCACCCAACTTTGACCAGACTTCAGCACACTGAAGGGAGCTTGAGCAGATTACCAACACAAATGTGTTGCCAAGAACTTTTGTATAACAGGGTTTCATTATTCCAATCCACAGACAAATTACATGGCAATAATGTCACATTTTAAAAATTCAATTGCAACTTTCACTGTTTTGCTAAAAAATGAAATCAACTGTAGCAAAACTAAATCTTTGTGAGCACTTAGTCCTTTTGTTATTCTAACTTCATGCCGTGGATCAGAAGAAAAAAATCTCGATGTAATACTCACTGGCATCAGTTAAATCCAGATGAGAAATACTGGTAACTCCACAGTGCTGGAAACACACAAAATCCTTTCTCTCCATGCTCAAAGAAAATCATGCTCCACAGCAATCCTGCACCTGATGAATGGGGATCTGCCTCTGGAAACTCAGCCCTGGGTGCCTTTCCCTGTTTTTAATTCTGCAAATGACAGGTTACAGCAGCAGAGCATTAATAGTAAAACCTCAAGCATGTTCCTACTTCCAAATATGAGTATTTGGAGATAGCCGTAGTAAAGACACCTCAAGTGGACACTCTGGCTCCGCATCAGCTGGACTGGAGGATCATGCCAGGTGTTTCACTCAGCCACATTTGCATATGCAGAGAGAGCAATTCCAACAGGTTTTATAGGAAACTGCCAACAACTTCTGGAGTTCAGCATCTGTCATTGTCCTCCAAAAACAAAATCCCTTAGGTTTTGTTTCCATCTCAGCAAACTAGGCTGTGAAAGAAGATGTAAAAAAAAAAATATACCTGGATAGGGAATCATCTGCCTGAGCCTAAAAAATAATTAGAATTAAAATTTCCACTTTACCTGCTACTTCCTTGCTGTCTCGAGTTGTCTCTTAAAGACTATTAGCACATATTAAAACAGGCAAACCCTGACTTTGCTTTTCCATTATATGCCTTAGTAAAGGGCTGCCATGGATCTGAACTCTGCACAGCTGACTTTGACCATAAGCAGATGTGCTGACTGTACCACGACCTATAGCAGTGTCATGAAACGAGGAGATCACTATCCTTACTACTAATGTCTGTCCAAATGGAAGCTTTTGCCTCAAACCCAGTCCCCACTGTGCTGAGCAGAAGGCAAGTACACACGGACAAAGAAAAAGCAGAGCAGAGTGGCTTCAGAAAAGCCAGAAGATTGGCACCACCATAGCCACCTTATTTGTCATGCTTTAGGACTGAAAGTTTGGAGCTAGTCCCCAGAACAAGCTAAAGAGAAGAATATAACCAAAGAGAGATGCTTTGTCAATGATCATTCCTCTAAGCCAAATCCACCTCTCTCCTCTCAGAAAGGCACCCTGCCTTCACCACAGGCATAGCCTCCAGCTGCACCACATTCTATCAGGACAGATGAAATTTTACCTTGCTTTTTAACAAGAAGAGGAGAATCCATACCATCTAACCAAATGTTCTACAGACTTTGAGTTGAAATGCATGATATTTTAGTTTAGTTTTAACAAGTTTACAACATACCCTTGAACTCTCCAATGCAATAATAAATGAACATGGAAAACTAAGGCACCTTTCCAGAGAGTCTTCCTTTCCAGGCTCACAGCACATGCAGTGGGAGAGCAGAGGCAGCACGCACATGTGTACATAGCCCACTGAACTGAAGTGGGGCTGCAGAAGAGCTGGCAGCAGTGCCAGCAGAAAATCCCACACCCTCTTACCACCCTTCCATGCTACAGCTGTCTGCCAACTGCTCTGCCTCTGTGGAGAAGAGCAGGAACAGGGAAATTTTATAATTGAACAGCACATAGCTTTGGTGCAAATAGAGAGAAATACAGGGAGAAAGAAAATATATTAGATATATATTGCCCTTCCTACTGTTTTTAAGGAAATAAAATAATTGCAAGAAAATGACCACTAGCAAATATAAGGTCTCTGTAGCAGTTGAAAGACAGCAGAACAGTGTGGAAGATGCCATTTGCTAGCTGAAGTAAGGATTGCAGTCTAACTCTTCTACAAATATCCAGAAGGCTCCCTTTGAATTCTACAAAATTCAAATGCACAATACCCAGAAACTTTGGTATTTAAAGAAAGTAAAGACATACAAAGAAATGACTCTGAAAACCTGAATCAGGGCACAATTAGCTAACCAGGCAAGACTCATCAATACAGCTCTATGCCCACAGCATCTGCTGATGAACTGTATCACCCCTTAAATAAGAGGCACACTGGAAGTATGTCTCCTGGAAAACAGTTCCCAATAAAGCCTCACTGGCATGAGCAGCACAGATCACACAGTCTGACACAGAGCAGACCTACCAGAGAATAAAACCTATTATCAGAGCTTTGTGTTCCCTAGGCTGCATGCTAAAAGAAGCCAGTAGGTACAATGTAGAAGAGAGAACCCTGAGCAGCATGTTGCCGCTTTTCTAAACATACTGATATGGGAGACTGAAAATCATATGCTGATGATTTCCTCATTAGAATAGCACATAGCACTATTTGCAGACTAAGTTACTACTCAGCATGTGCGTTATGTCCCTAATTTGGCCCTTAATAGGAACATATTGATACACACTCCACCAGATGGAATACATTAGACATTAACTATAAAAGTTGTTTTTGTTTTTAGAAGTCTGTGTAACTTTACACACACACACACAGACACACACACACACAAATCCCACAGACTGTATATTAATCATGTTTACTGATCTCTGGAGTGTATTAGCACACTTTGAAGTTAGCCTACTATGCCAAGCCTCTGTCAGTTGAAGGCATAAATTTCCGTCTTTGCTCCTTGTGTAACTTTTTCTGTCTTCCCCCCACGCCCCCAAATGAAGCAAGGTTAGATTGGAACTAGATGTGGTTTTCATATTGGCCTGCAAGAGCTTGCTAAGATGTGTGAGTGGGTGACTTCACTTTGAAGGTACGTGTTCTACTACCCAAGCCATCTTTTCCACTCAGTTAACATCTCAAACAAGCATCTTTTTTTAATCTTTCTGCAACAGAATGAAAATTTTTCAGAAGTACAACTCCACCCACCAGTACATTATTAGATAACCAAGTTTTGAACATATGGCTGCTAGTTACCTTTACAACACAGTGATTACAAATAAAGCATCTGAGATATTCCCCCACATTTTGAAGTGTAGTGAAAACACACCTCCTTTAACTGAATGACTAATTTGTGTCTGAACACAAAGAGTAAATGTTCCATTCAGATGAAAACAACTGAGAGAACTGAGCAGAATCAGTCATATAGCATTTCCTTCCTTAAGACACA